CACTATAATTTTCAAAATTCTTAAGGATATGCATATCCTTATACTCCACCTCCTAAAAGAAATCTTGAGGAAACATTGCATGCATTCATTGAGAAGCAAGAGACAATCAATACTCAACTTACTCAAAACATGATAGATTTTAAAGATACTCTTGCAAAATTGACATCTGCTCTTAGTTTCCAAGAGAAAGGTAAGTTTTCATCTCAACCACAACAAAATCCTAAGGGGCAATACAATGCAAATGCAAGTAGTTCCGGAAGTCAACACATGGATCAAGTTAAATCTGTCACTACTCTTCGCAGTGGTAAGGTTATTGAAAAACCCACTCTTGAACCTTGTGAGAAAGATGACGAGTCAATCTCTAAGGGTAAGGAAGGGGTTGAATTTGAAAATTGCAAAGAAACGACTGATTCTCCACCAGTACTTCCATTTCCTCATGCTATGACCAAACAAAGAAAAGTCAATCGCAACTTTGAAATCTTTGAAACTTTAAAACAAGTAAGAATCAATATACCTTTGTTGGATGCTATTAAACAGGTTTCTTCCTATGCTAAATTTTTGAAAGATCTCTACACTGTGAAGAGGAAACTAAATGTGAAAAAGAAAGCCTTTTTAGCCGAACAAGTAAGTGCCGAAACTGAATGTGAAAAAGAAAGCCTTTCTAGCCGAACAAGTAAGTGCTATTCTTCAGAACAATAATGCTTTGAAATATAAAGACCCTGGTTGTCCTACAATTTCTTGCTTTATTGCAGAACATAAAATTGAAAGAGCCTTACTTGATCTTGGAGCTAGTGTGAATTTACTTCCGTATTCAGTTTTTCAGAGTCTTAATCTTGCTAGTGTGAATTTACTTCCATATTCAGTTTTTCAGAGTCTCAATCTAGGTGAGTTAAAACCAACTTCTATAACTCTTTTACTTGCCGATAGATCTATAAAAGTGCCTAGAGGAATAGTCGAAGATGTGTTAGTACAAGTCGATAAATTCATATATCTTGTGGATTTTGTTGTCTTGGACACACAACCTGTTGAAATATGTAATTCATTTCCTGTTATTTTAGGACGTCCGTTTCTTGTAACATCTAATGCATTGATTAATTGTAGGAATGGACTGATGAAGCTATCATTTGGAAACATGACATCGAAGATGAATATTTTCAACATTTGCAAGCAACTTGGAGATGATAATGATTTACAAGAAGTAGATCATATTGATGAATTAGTTTATGATCAACTTGAATCTAATTTAAGTAAAAATGAGTTGGATGAATCTGAAGATTTGCAAATGATTTATTCTGATGAAGATATCACGGATGAAAAACACACAAAAAATGACAACAAATTCAACATCTGACATCACATTAATCGATGATTACTTTCCTAATGAATCCTTACTTTCTCTTAGCCCAATGCCTTGGTATGATAAAAATATCAATTTTCTTGCTTTAGGAGATTTGCCAGCTGATTGTAGTACCCAAGACAAAGAAAAGTTTTTGAACGAAGTGAAGAACTTATGATTTGTTATTAACATAAGTATTAGTGGATGACTAATGTAATCATGAATGCTTGACGAGATTTACAAGTATTAGCATTAATCGAATAAGATGACTAATGTAATCATGTTAACAATCTATAATCAGATTGGAACCTCTTTGTGTGTGGTTTCCAATTGAATAATAGAAGTTTATACTATACTTATTTGACATACCATTAATGGATCCTCTAACCTTGACATTTGTTTAATCCTTACATTAATATTTCATCTCAAAGTTCTCATCTTCTTCTTCTTTTTCTCCTTCTTTTTCTTTATTATTATTATTGTTATTATTATTATAATTGTTATTGTTATTATTATTATTGTTATTACTATTATTATTGTTATTGTTGTTATTATTATTGTTGTTGTATTATTGTTATTTGTAATTTATACAATTAACCTCTTTGTAGTTCGACCCCGATCTTGCTGGGTTATTTATTACTTTGACACTCTTGCACTTGAGAGAAGACATCAATCTTTTAGTCGTGTCAGGTTGGATTCATGCTATTTTTCTAGTAGATTTCAAGTCTGACTTCAAAGATATCATTCTTTCTTATTTAGATGAGTTAGTGAGCCAATTTTATATGGATAGAAAGCATAAGGTATTTATATTTCATCCCAACTAGAATCATAAAAGCATTCCACTTGTAGCTACAAATTTTATCTAAAGAATACATGGAGGTCTAGCTTATCACATTTTCCTTGACTAATCTGAATCCCATTAGGATTCTTTGTTCAAGTTGGATTCCTAGTGCAATTGAGATTTGTTCTTAGCTCTAATAACTCATCCCAATATGTTATTTCTATATATATATATTTTTTTTTTGCTTTAAATTTTGTTAAAAATGACTTATTTAGCTTTTTTTTACACTTTGTATTTTTATAGCATTGTTAAGCATAAAACAAGTTAAGTAAACTAGTGTAAGAGATAAAACATGTATAGAAGACTAAGAATGATATACTAATTGATACTTAAAAGTATATTTTTATCAAGGTTTTATATCATTATTTTGCACTTGAAGTATCAATAACTCCTTAACTAAAGCATGTTTTATAATAATATATCTAATAATATAAGATACCTTAATTTATGATAAATGTTCATTTTAAATGCAGGCCTATCAAATAAATGAAAATATTGATTGATGACTTTAAGAACTTAAATTGCAAGGATAAAGAGATAGCCAAACTTAGAAAAGAGATGTCGGTGCAATCCAAACCGGAACACTGTTCGGTAAAATTGAAAGGACAAAGAGATGGCCAAACTTAGAAAAGAGATGTCGGTGCAATCCAAACCGGAACAGTGTTTGGTAACTAGGTCATATCTGGAGCTGTAGATCTCAGATTTATGTCTACTTTATATGGATGGAAAGGTAAAACATAGGCCTGCAACTTTTATATGGAGCCCAAGATGTAAAAAGGCCATTTTCAAGTCCAAAACTTTTATATGGAGCCCAAGATTTAAAAAGGTCATTTTCAAGTCCAAATTGTAGCAACAACAAAGAAGCCCGAATCTGTCCTCCAGCCCGAGCACTGTTTAGTATTTTGGCCATATCTGGAGTTCTAGAAGTTGAAATGATCTAAATTTTTTAAACAAGAAAGCTGAGACAATTTCCTACAACTTTTATATTTTTAAGTGGTTCCAATTTTGACGTTATCAATGACGGTTTGGGCAGACAAAAGAAGATAAGGATTGTCACCAAGTCAAGAGTTGGCAACCTACTCATCAATTAGTTATCAAATCAATAGTTTCTAATTTTGGCCTATAAAAGGAGGTATTTGCCATGCATTTAGGCATCTTGGTTTCCAGATCAAGATCATACTCTTGCTTTCTCTCTTTGTATTTTTTGTAATGTTTATGCCTTGCTTTTATTAATACCAAGTTTATGCTTTTCATTTCCTTTCATTTACTTAGTTAACTTTTATCTTATTTATGTTCTTATTTTATTTATTTATTTTTCTTTCTTTCATTATGTCTAGCTAAGTTTATTATGTCAAGGTGAAAAGGTTACACTAATGGTGTAAGAATTAGTGTAAATTTAATATGGACTTTAATGTTTGATACTAACATGTTTTATATTTGTTATCTTGTTCACTCTTTAATACTTTGCTTGTTAAATGACTAATCTTGATTTATGTTGTATAACACTAGGTACAACGAATGCTTGACACTTTCATAGCTTATACTGTATGGTATAACCAACACTTGAGCTATGAAAGGAACTTGATTTGTTGTTGACATAAGTTATAATCATGAATGCTTGACGAGATTTACAAGTATTAGCATTAATCGAATAAGATGACTAATGTAATCATGTTAACAATTTATAATCTGATTGGAACCTCCTTTGTGTGTGGTTTCCAATTGAATAATAAGAGTTTATACTATACTTGTTTGACATACCATTACTGGAACCTCTAACCTTGACATTTGTTATTATCATTATTTAATTCTTGCATTGATATTCCATCTCAAAGTTCTCATCTTTTTTTTTTCTTCTTCTCCATCTCTTTCTTCATTACTACTACTACTACTATTTCTATTAGTATTGTTGTTGTTGTGATTACTATTGTTGTTGTTTATAATTATCGTTTATAATTTGTATAATTAACCTCCCTGTGGTTCAACCCCGGTCTTGCCGAGTTATTTATTACTTTGACACTCCTGCACTTGGGAGAAGACATTAATCTTTTAGTCGTGTCATATACTAAAAAGATAGAATAATATAAGTGTATTAATAAATACCCATCTTTTATACCATTGGATTTTGAAAATTTAGAAGATAATGGGTTTAAAATAAAAGTGTTTTTGACAACAATGAACAATTTTTAATTGATTTATGTGTTTTTGACAACAATAAACAATTTTGAATTGATTTATACATCAATCAAGATTAAATCTTTTCTTAAAGCAATTTAAGAATACACCACTCATGTTGATATAATGTATTCATGAGATCCCAAAATTTATTAAAGTGAAAATAAAAAAATAAAATTTTAACTATAAAATCAAACTATTTAGAATAAATAGACCAATGATTCATATATATATTTTAAATTGAATTTCAATTTCATCATATGTTACAATCATTAGTAGCCCAAGAAAAGATATCAATAACAAAAATAAATAACTACAAATAATAGCAACAAAAATCATTACTACATTACTATGACCAAGAATAACAAAACTAGAGATATTTAAGATATAAAAATTATTTTTCAAATTATTTTTAACTTGAAAATCTATTAAGATATTGTTTTTTATAAAAAAATTATTTTTACATTAACATATTAAAACGATTTAAAAATACTAAAAAATTATTTACAAATAAAAATAATTCAAATGTTAATAAAAAGCAAATTCAATCCCAACGTCAAAAGTGCACTAAATATACAAAGAAAACTTCAATCCACGGTACTATATATAGACAGAAAACATTCTTCAACCTTCATGCTACAAGCTAACCATCTTCTCCATCTATCCATGAAATGTTGAAGCACACAATAATGCAATGTCCCAATGGGCATTTATTTGTAACCTTGCATTTCTACAAGACAAACGAGAGCGGCAAATTAAAACAGATCACGAGGAGATATTTTTAGGCTCATTTAAGCTCATGGCCGCAATAAGCACGTCGAGGAGCTGCTGGTGTGCAGTTAGATGTGGAAAATGCCCATCAGTTTCAATGATCTCAACCGTAGATTTCCCTTTGATCTTCTCCAGCATGTAGTAAGCAACTGAATTTGGCACTACAATGTCTCGAGTGGTCTGGACTATAATGCATGGTGTCAAAACCTTCTCAAGAATGTCCCTTTCATCACAGTAAAAAACAGTTTTGGCTACATGGACGGCAAACTCAGGTCTCATTCTTTGCAAGCATTTTGAGAACATGTCGACCGAGGGAGGATCGTTTGCATCGACGACAACAGAAGCAAAGGCTTGCGCCCAGTTGTAGAAGTTGGATTCTATGTTTGAAATGATATCCTCAACCTCCGAGTTATTGAAACCTCCTTCATAATCATCAGCATTGATGTACCTGAACGTCAGAACCTTAATTTTAGAGGCACCAATAAACTAACTTGAGCCAAAAAAAGAATTAGTAAAGATGTTTTGGCCCCATTTACGTTGTTCAATAAAGGTTTATTACCCCATAAAAAAAAGGATATTAAGGTGTCAATAAAGGTGTGAGCTGTCCCACTTGATGAATTATTTTGCTAATTATATTAACGTAGGTGTCACAACTCAACTTGATTTAAGGAAGGCTATGAAAATAGATATGTGCTAACTGTTCGGCCGGCCGGCTAGCTTCAGTAGTTCGATTATATCAAATAAGCAACTGTCCAAAATGGTTTTGGCTCCTTGCCGGAGCATGAATGAAAGGAAAGGCATGCAGATTAATCAGTCGATTTTGATGTAGTTATTCTCAGATAATGACTTTGCTAATCATCTATATATCAACCAATCCTTTGTTACGGTTAATTTCCGGTGAAGGAAATAGACAGTCAGTACTAGAGATCTAGACGACACCATCACAAGTAATCCATGTCCACATGTTTGATTGTCTTTTTGTAGCGAGAGCAGATAGAGAATGTTTGGTGTATGTGTTGATTCGTAACCAAAAGTTTTGACCCTCTTGAAATCTAGCTATTTGAAAATAATCTGTTCAAGTTGGATTGGATTGATGTTACAACATCTAGTTTGTAAGTAAAAGATTTAAACAGGAGGTTGTAAAATCTGATTGAAAATATAATAATAGTTGTAGTAATATATTAAAATAATATTTTTTTAATTTTAAAAATTTATTTTTAAAATTAGTATATCAATCAATCTGAAATATAAAAAAATAATTTTTAATAAAAAAATAAAAAATTATTTACACTCCGTTTTGAACCAAACTGATTGTCTTTTAGATCAATATACTAGAAAATTCACCAATACTCAAAAATAAAAAAAAAACAAATAATAGAATAAAAAACATCCAAGACTTCACATATGATACTAGAAAATAGCTCTCTACATATCAGGATAAATTCATGCCGGAGTTAGCTGGTCAGTCCTTTATTCTCCACTATTTCCTCCAAATTATTTGTAGGGATCTTAATAATTTGTTGCAAAAATAACAAGAAGTGAGAGGGTAACAACAGAAAGAGTTGGTTCATCGATCTGATAGCAACTAGCTAGCCTGACCGTTGAACAAAGGTAAGGATGATGATACTTCAATCAAGTTAACCTCAAAGGCGGCATCGAGCAAAAACCAAAACAACATTAAGAATCCCTTGTATGGTCGGTACGAAGAACAATACAAAATCATTTAAATAGTACTAAAGTGGACAGAACACTTGAGTCATAAATTAAGAAAATTAAACAACAGTACTTTAAGAATTCGTAGTTACCTGGGAGAAGCTCCAATAAGTATGAGCCTCTTAAAAAGATCAGGCCTTTTAATGGAAGCGATGCATCCAATCATACCAGACATCGAGTGGGCAACAAGAACAGATGATTTCAAGTCCAGCTCATCCATGAGACTGATCAAGTCATTTGCAAAAGCATCATATGATGAGTACTTAACAGGGTCAAAGAGATTTGGATCTTTTATAGCACCAGAAAAGATCCAGTCAAAAACAAGTACCCGATAGTGCTTAGCCAAGCGGGGAACGATTTTATCCCATACAGACTGATCTCCTCCAAACCCATGAGCAAGAATTATGGCTTCGTTGCCGGAGCCAGTAACTTTTGCATTCAAGGCTCCTGAAAGACCCTTTTCCGGCACCACCATGATGTAATAAGAAGGGAGAAGACAACTTGAGCAGATCGGAGAGGGGAAGAGGGACTAGCTATAGCTAGCTGTAGAGTTGAGAGAGTTTGTTATGGCTGGGTGTTTGCTTTGGCCCCTCTTATATAGGACGAAAGAGTGGCTCGGCTCTCATCGATGGTAAATACGAGATGACTGCAGTTATACAGTTAGTTGCTCTCTCAAAAAACAAAAAAATCTCGAGTTCAAATCTTAAAACAAATTAAAAAACCCTAATATTTTACATGAAAATAATTTAAATATATCAGCATCCCTCTAATAAAGTTCGTGTATTTATTTTAAAGGTGGAGAGAGGTGAAGGTTAAGGTTTGAGTATCAAACCAATCAAAAAAACTAAAAAAAATAAAAAAAATTAATTTTTATAGTTAGTTTTTTTACATAAAATTTGATTGTATTCAATCATAACCCCAACCACAACAAATAAAACACACACCATAATATTTATATTGGAATCCACCTACCTTATCACTTAGTTGTCATGTTTTATTATAAAAAAAATAGTGACAAACTTCTTTGAATACATTTATAAAATGTTTTTCGAGATTGGTACCACGGTCCTCTATCAAAATAACACCATAAAGAAAAAGAATTGTAAACTTAAATTAAAATAAAATAAGAATTACATAAAAATATAAACTTGTCACTATTTTACATAGATATTACAACTTTAAATGAAATTATGGAGTTAGGCTTGCTTTTTATCTCATTCACATAGTTAATGTTTGACAATAATTTCTCAGATCAAGCCCTCAACCAGCTTATTACTAGTCCCTAGTAATCAAAGCGTAAAATAGAAAAACAATTTGTAAAAAAAAAAGGCCATGCTATCATATCTTATTGATGAAAGATAAAAAAAATCATTTTTTTCCTTGTGTTAGAAACATACCAGATATTTATTCTAAAGATAAAAAGTCATGTGGAGAGCAAAGAAGAAATAAAAGTCGATACAAGACCACATAAATCTAAATCTTAATATAAATTTATAGACACGATTTAAAAAATAAATAAATAATTTAAATATTCATATACACGAAATCGTAATGGTTAGTAAATTGGAATAAATTAAAAAATAGTACGACTGTGGTAGAGAGGGGGAATTGAGAGGAAGTATAATTGCCCCCCTGCATGGGCCAGGGAGAAGAAAACAGAACCACAGAAAAATTAAAGGGATACCTACCCCGCGCTGCCAGAGTCCTCTGGGAGGTGTTGATGAGTTCATGCTGCCATCATGCGCAAAAGGAGCCTCTTGTCTTTTCTGTGTTATAAATTTATAGTGGACTTGTACTGTCGCTGAGAGGTGAGAGACTTGGGAGATAAGTCCAACGTCCACCTTTTCTGACATTAAGGGAGCCCCACACACGTTCTTTCCCTTTCGATGCATGCGTTGCCTTGCTCTATTCTTTTGTGAATTGCTTGCTATAAAGTTTTTCTGCCTTCCACCTTTTACTTCTACACCTCCGAGTGGATTCTTATGGTCTTTAAGATTATGTTTTTTTTAAAAAAATATATATTTTTTTTTAAAAAAAATTAATTTTTTATTTTATTTTATTATTTTAAATTAATATCTTTAAATTATTTTAATACATTGATATTAAAAATAATTTTAAAAAAAATAAAAAATATTTTTTAATATTTTTTTAAATAAAGAGCACTTTAAAAAACAACCGTAACTAGACTTTTAAATATATTCTAAAAAAGTTTGTTGTTTTTCTTTAAAAAGGAAATTGGAAATTGGTATTTTAATATTATATATGAGAAAATAGATTAAATTTTTTTGAATATATCAAATCAATAAAAAAAAAAATTTATTTCAATTACATGCAAATCAATTTAAGAAAATCCATGTAAAAAACAAAAAAAAATTCATTATTTTTATCTTAAATTCATACTTAATAACTAAATGTTTTTTTTTTATCTTTGTGATGATAAAAATAATAATAATTCATTATTTGTGATGATAATAATAATAATAATACTTAATTTATTTTTGTTTCCATAGTCTTTTATGTTGCTTTAAGCATTAAATAAGTTACCTTTTTTTTTTTAAATTTAGTTTAGGAGGTTAAATGATTTGTCAAGATATTGTAAGTTTTATCAAGATTTGACTAAAAATATAAGAAACAACAATAGATTTATTGTTTAGTGGTATTTGTTTTATGTAAAATATTTTTATAAAATACAATTAATTTCTGTTTATGAATTCTATAAAATATTTTAAAAATCACCATCATTACAATCAACACCACCAACATCATTCTACTATAATTGCAATATTTACTTCATTATTTGCCAAAATTGTAAGATTTGTTCCATGGTACTGGTTACATAAAAAATAAACATGTACATGTCATCCAAATTAAAGAATAAACATGCATATGTCATTCAAATAAAAACAATGAGTGTTTATGAAAAAAAAAAGAGTTGAAATCAATTTCGAATTAAAAAATTCGATCGAGCTAGAAGAGTTCTTGGATCAATCATAAGAATTGAAGAAGTAGTCAATTAAGCAATTAGGATTCACGATTAATTAAGAAAAAGTTATTGACCAACATAGTTTGAACGCATGTAAAACATCATAAAAGTTAATTATTCAACTAGGTGATTAGGATTCACAATTAATTAAGAGAAAGTGATTGACCAATATAGTTTTAACGTATATAAAACATCATAAAAGTTAATCATATTGAGAACATCATAAAAGTTAGTCATATTGAAAACAAGAGTCTTCACTAGAATAACTAGTCCAAGTCACGGATTAGCATAGGATTCATGTTGTATTCAATATAGGAAAATTTTAGTTTATATAAGGATTCAATAAAACCCTTCAACCAACATATATCTTTGTATAGGATTAGGATTAACTATATAGTTAGGATATAAGCTTTAAATCATTATATAAAAAAGACATATAGTCATAGTGAAACATAATCAGCTACATATATATAATTTTTTAATTAAACTTATTTTATTTGAAGTATAAGTATTTTCTTTCTTACTTTTATTTATATTTTTATCTACAACTTTTTTTATTTTTCTAGCTCATTTAAGTTATTGCAATTTTTTTCCTTAAAACTCTATTTTTTTTATACAATGATGCTTCTTTGAACATACACCCTTTTGTAAGGCTTAAGATCTAAAATTCCATTTCTAGTTTGGTAGAAGTGATTGTCACCTCATCATAAGGTAAGTCCTAAGTAAAA